GTGGTGCTCACCACGCAGACTCAATTACAAGGGTGTTTGCGTTGGGGGACGTGCGCGCGGGCGGTGAAAGAGAGGCAGAGAGAGAGAGAGAGACAGAGACAGAGAGAGAGCGCTGAGGGGTGAGAAAAGAGCAGGTGCGTGCAAGGTGAAGGGGGACCAAAGGGCAAAGAAAGGAGAGAGAGAGAGAGAGAGAGAGAGAGAGAGAGAGAGAGAGTGGATGGACGGACTGGGAGGGGGTGGGGGCACGGTGACGTGGTGGTGCGACCAGCCGAGCAGAAGAAGGCGGTGAACATTAAGGCCAGAACAAAAAGCTACGGTTTAGTTTTTCCGCGCCTCGTCTTCATTCTCCGCCTCTCTCTTTCTCTGCTCTCCCTCTCTCTCTCTCCCGCTCCCTCCTCATCTTTCTCTTCTCTCTTCTCACTCTCACTCTGCTCCCCTTTCAATTTCATGCCAGTCATTCGCCAGCTCCAGGTGGTCGGGCCGGTCCGGGTCGTCCCCCCCGACACACCCCTAATCATTTTCGCTCGATTTCCCCCCTTCCGGGTGACGGCACTGGAGTGAAGGGGGCGGACGTGGGGGGGGGGAGCGGAGAGGGGGCGCAACTGAAAAGAATGCGCTGCTGGGAGAGGGAGGGGGGGGGAAGAGGATGAAGAGATACAAAATAACAACAGCCTGATGTGTTCAATCGGTTATCCTGTCCGTTGCCGCGCGGTTCTCTCTCCCTCGCTCTCGCCCCCCGTGCGGCCACCACAGATTGGATGGGGTGGGCCCGTCATATATATTCGCGGCAGGCCGGGGCACTCTCTCTCTCTCCCACTCACACTCTCTCTCTCACATACTCGCACTCACACATTCTCTCCCTCACTCCCACTGACGCACACATTGAGCCCGTGCCCTGCCGCTCGCGCCTGGGCCGAAGTGCCCATAGCCCATAGCCCCACTGCCCCACTGTTCCGCAGGCGGCCAGGAAGCTAACTCATGCGTGCGCTGGCCGTGCTGGCCGTGCCCGGGCGCTGCTGCTGCTCCTGCTGGTGCGGCTGGTAATCGCCCCTTCCCCTTCATCCTCCTGCCATGAAATCCAGGCCGCTCTCTCACTTCGGACCCCCTCGCCCCCTCCGCCTACCTCCCTTTTCGCGTAATCTAGCAGCCCGCCTGCCCGCCCCGCTACCCCTACCCCCCTGCCGTGCAGCTTGATGGCACGCAGAGTCCGGTCATGTGGCAGCAACACCAGGTAGGCCGTGCATCTCTCTCTCTCTCTCTCTCTCTCTCTCTCTCTCTCTCTCTCTCTCTC